ATCAGGTCCATGCGTCGAATCTTGTCATCATCAAATCCAAGACTAAGATTGATTGCTACCTGACCAATGGTAGCCTTATCTCACACATCCTTAAGCAGTCGATTGCTTCCTTGATCTCATAACTATAATGATGTTCCTACAGTCTTATCACTTGTTCAAATGGATCTAATCAATCCGGGTAATTCCAAAATCCAATCCATGAATTTCCATATCCTCACTGCTACATCCGAACTGGTGGGTACTATTGTTTCTTCCGCGTCCTAACAACGCACTCATGCTATCTACCAACCAAGTGAATGCTACGACTACACCCATAGGCTTACAACACTCTATCACTATCTGCCAACCCCGTGAATGTTACGACTACACCCATAGACTTACAACATCCTAGCATTATCTGCCTGTTAGCGAATGCTACAACTACCCTCGTAGTCTTACAACACTTTCTATACCATCTGACTGTTAGTGAATGCTACGGTTACTCCCGTAGTCTTACAACACGTTCCATAATGGGGCGAACACGCACTCGACCTAACACACAACTGAACTTGAGTCCTATTGGAGCTCTACCCTGGTTCCTGAAACCTTCTTTCTGAGAGTCTCGAAGACTGTCTGCTACTCAGGCCCCCAACGAAAGGCCACTGACTTCTTGGTCAGTCGGGTCAAGGGAATTGAAATCTCAGAGAAGTCTCGTATAAATCTCCGGTGATAACCCGCTAGACCCAGGAAACTCTAAATCTCAGTTGGAGACCTCGGAATCTCCCACTGCATCACAACCTCTATCTTGGTCGGATCGACCAGAATACCCTTCTGGTTGACAAGGTTCCCAAAAGATTGCAGCTCACGCAAGCAGAACTCACATTTGGAGAACTTTATAAAAAGTCTCTCCCCCAATTAGATTTGACTAAGTCTTCATGGCACGCGAGAATTGAAGGATTCCCAATCCGTCTCGCTTTCTAGTATCCGACCGATGACAACCTGTGCTTACCAAAGCTAGCGATTAGTCACCGGTTAAACCTTAAGATCGCCCATCCTCGGAAATCTTGATGAGTACTGTTGAAATCGGGTTCAGTCTGACACCTCAATCCACCTCCCATGCTGACAACTAGAGGCCTTAATCTTCACTATGGCTGATGAGTCCTCATTCCCACTTCCAATCTTGCAGCACCACTGAACTCTAACCGAACACAACTCATGCAAAAAATGAAATTCTCTTGAACATCCAATGACTGAACACCCATGAGTCTAACACTCGCACTGACTCCACTATCTTCATGCTACCAGTCCTGTCCAAGCAACGATAGTGCCTTGAACTCTAAAGTTCATCCATAGACAGTTGTCGACCATACTTGAACCATGTTTGAACCATTGAACGCTGACTTGACTAAAGAACTATCACTCTAACCCTGACCGAGGATCTTCCAAACAATACTCCTATACAGATCTTGACAAAGATCTGGAATGATAACGGTACACATGGAACCCGCTCCGCAAGGTACGTCCCTTTCTGGGTTCATCCATGACCTTTCGACATGCAGGATGACATATATGACCCTTGATAACCCAAACACTAGCAAAAAACCGACCCAAGATCTGACTTATCCAAACTCACTGACAATCCTAAAGCGATACGTATCCCCAACATTCATCTATTAGCAGAAGAAGATGGCATACCCGCAACATCTGGAGGAATACTAATTACCTTCAACTGACATGACATACCCTGCCACACCTTTAGCAGCCTAAACCCTTGGAGTGACAAACTCCCTTGTTCACTTTCTCGTACGTTCTGTATTGACTCCGGCCTTGCTGGCGTTTCACCTGATGATCAGAAGTCATGTGTCTCTTCCCGAAATCCTCTATTATACACACCTAGCACAAACCCCTCTTATCAAAGAGCTCCAAATCGATCTCACATCAGCAACATCTTGGAAATCATATCCTTCAGGGTCTGACACCCTGTCACACTCACTAGCTCGCTAGGTAATGGCTAAGCTGCAACAATTGAAACATACTCTATCCCCAAACCAGGTCACAAAATTCTCCCCAAAACTTCTAAGATTCTTCAAGACTCTCACCGATTCGAGTATGGATCATGTGCTTTCAGTATTACGGGCCCAATACTACCTTCCAAACCTATCCATACATTCCTCAGCAATCCTCCCGAATCCTCTAAGTTACTTCCTCAAACTGGTACACCCAAATCTCGTTGGGCGTCACTAATAACCCACTGAAACATATCCTAGGCTTCCCTAGGTTCCCATACCCACCCAGTCCTCATCTGCTGAAAAATTCCCAGTAATGTCAACTAGCTACCTCATGAACATAGCCACATGCAATAATGATTAGATAATCCTTCGAGTAATAGACCCATCTCTAAAACGGTTGGACACAGACAAGAGTTGCATAAGAGGGTCAAGTCCATCACTCTGAGATTATCCGGCCTGTGCCACATGTGACTTAGCATATTCACTTAATAGCTAGCTCACATTACTAAAAGTCCATAAAGCACAAAGGAAGCAGCATTCAAGAATGAAAAATCTAACCATCATAATCTAATCAAACCATTTTATCCTCTAATCAGGAATATGTACATGCAATTCAAAGGCTCATACAATCAGGCATAACCTAACAGGCTATCCTATCACTGACTGATCATTACTAACATGCAAGTCCACAAGCACATACAATAGGCATATAAGGCATCCTCCCTGGATCCTTAGCCTTAATCTAGCATGCAGTTCTCATAATCATATCATAACATAACATATCATAACATGTATGGGTATATTCGGGAAAACTTACTTGAGCTCGTCTGATTGCATGCATCACACACCTTGTTCTTTTCAAAGTCCTGTTCTCTTTTCAAAATTCTTTTCAAACTTCTTTTTATAAAAGGGTTTTTCTTTTGAAAAATTTTCATACTAAGTCCTTAGTTTGAGTTCAGACACACCCGTGAGTGTGCCCGAATCCCTCAAACCAAGGCTTTGATACCAAATTGTAACATCCAAAAAATACAGGCCAAAAATTTCATTTTTAAACATGTTATTGTAAAACCAACAGTATAATAAAACATCCATAATAACATCTCATGTCAAAACCAAAGTAGAAATAATCAAAACATGTTATCATAAAACAATATCAGAGTGTAATCCCCAAGATCTAATGTGTGGAAATATAGTGTGATGCACTGCGATCAAGTTGGCTGCTTTCTTGTGAAAACGAAGTACCTGAAAGCAAAACTGAAAACTGTAAGCGCAAAGCTTAGTGAGTTCCCCCATCATACCACATACCATACAAATCAGATACTGCCGAGCATATCTGGGTGCCCGACCTACCCTCTCAGGCATATCTGGATGCCCAACCTGCCCTGCTTAGCATATCGGGGTGCTAAACCTACCCCACTGTTAGGCATATCTGGTGCCCGACCTACCCTCAGGTGTATCTCAACTGGTTGCGGGGACTATTTCACCCCTACCGCTACCACATAATAACACCACATATCATAAACATACATAGTTGGGTACTAGACTACCCCTTTGGCCCTATCGACCGGTAACCAGGGACTATTCCCGCTACTACCATTATCACATAACGTCATATCATGCTAGCACATAAAATATATCAGATAGTAGCAAACCTCGATAATTATGAAAAAGACAATCATCTATCAAACAACTCCTATTGGCGGGCCATCATTGTGGCCTTATTCCCATTTCTACTAGAAGGTAACTCACCTTACACTGCTGAAGTCCCGAAGACACAATCCCAGTTGCTGGTTGATGGATTCTCGAACTATGAATATCACACATCACCCACTTAATAATTGGGTCACAACATAAAAATCATAAGTCCATGCTTAGGGTAAAAGACTACTTTACCCTCATCTTAGCATGATTCAAGCCCATGACCCAATCCAAAGACCCAACAGTCAATTATGAGTCAAAGCCCAACATATGGCCCAATTTTCCAAATTGGGCCCAAACCTTACTTGTTCGTAATTAAAGGCCCAACTACTTAGTCGAGTCCAAACCTTTGGCATTTCTAATGGCCCAATATCATATAACCATTAAGGCCCAAACCATGGTCCATCTTTGGCCCAATTTTCTAAATTGGGCCTACACCCTTATATGGGCCTTACCCTAAAGCCCATCTAAATATTAGCCCAAACACCAAAGCCCAATAGAAAGGCCCAACATAAAGCCGAGTGAAATTAGGGCTTCACATAAAATGACGATTAGGGTTATGTGTGTCATTGATTGATCTTGGATGGCCACTTATTAGCCCAAACACCAATGCCCAATAGAAAGGCCCAACATAAAGCCGAGTGAAATTAGGGTTTCACATAAAATGATGATTAGGGTTATGCGTGTCTCACTTAACCCATTAAGGACTTAATCCATTAAGTACATCACTCTTCTAAATAAATCATATGGTGTGATTGGGCTTGGTACACAATTCCATTCCAATGGCCCAAATGTGGGTCCTGTTAAGTCCAAGCCCATAAATCTATTATTAGGTTTTTTAAAACCCTAATTAGGGTTTCCAACCCCATCTTAGCCCAATAGGCCCAATATCCAGGTCTTTTGATCGAGTAGGGTTCATATGGCTCATTAGTCACATGTTTGGGCTTTTAGGTTAATTAGGGTTTCATTGGACCCATTAGGGTTTCATTGGGCCTATTAGGGTTTGCTAGGCCCAGTAGGGTTTTAGTCCCTTTGTCCAAACATTCCAAAAAAGTCACAAACCAAACAAGGCACACCGCCACCTGATATGGCAGCCGGTGGCAGCAGCCACCACCTGACGGTGGTGGGTTTGACTTTCTCTCCATTATTCTACTTTCCGGTTACAATTTATAAGGCTCAAATGCAGATAACCCACACACACACTAAGCAAAACACACACACAGCCACCCTAGTGGTGGCCAGCAGTGGCACGAGGTGGTGGTTGCCTCCTATGTTTTCCAACCACACAAAACTCACACACACTCACTTCATACTCTATCGAAAAAATAAACCCAACACCCACCTATGGTGGGCGGCGACGGTAGAAGGTAGAAGGACTGGCGGTAGGCGGCGGTGATTTGCGATGATAGTGGCTTCACGGAGGCAGTCTCCAATGGCTGAAGCAGCGACTCGAGTCACAGAATCCAGCCATGCAGCGGTGGTGGTCGTGACTGAGAAATGGGGACCACCGTGAACGAAGTCATACCGGCAACAAGAAATAAAGAAGAGAGGTGGTGTGAGACGGTAGACAACGGAGGCTATATCTTCACCGTCTCAACGCAACAGGGCAGCAAATCTTGGTGGTTCACCTATTGGTTCTTGTTCCCGGCAATGGTGGCGGATGGAGGCCACGAATCGGCGACACCCACGACGTCATCTCCTTCTCCAGTGTTCGACTGATTCAACACCCAATCCCTGTTTCCATCGGTGTCCGATATTGCGTGCAACATGAGTCGTTTGATGGTGGTGGGTGGTCGGAGGTGGTAGTGGTGTCGGAGATTGGTGAGGTGAGAGTGGCGGCTACATAGAATATTAGGGTTAGGGTTTTAGGGGGGGGGGGCAACGCAAGGTGACAGGTTTATACCCGTATCCCATACAAACTTCATGAGGATTTGACACTTTCAGCCCCTCCCATCCCTAATCTTTTCAAAATGAGTCCAAAATTTACCTTTTTAACCCCTGATTCCAAAAATCTTTACAATATAAATCCAGAATTTACATTTTATCCCTTGTTTCCATAATTCCTCTCATATTAAGTCCTAATTGTTACCAACTAAATGTAGACTAATCACCTATGTTTAATTATGGATGAACCAATGCACCAACTGAATTTAGATTTGCTGATTAGTATTAGAGGTGATATCAACAAAAATTAGAATTATTAGAGTATCAAAGATATTACTTTTGGTAAAATTGATACCTTCAAGAAGGAACCTAAAAAGAGCTACTTTATTTAAAATTCAAATCTTATGCAACTTCATTATCATGTCAATAATTTATGTTCGTATTTCTTCAATACAAAGTAGCAAATACTTTACAAGATCAAGATGCTTACAAGAATTGGTAATGGTGTCCAGGGGCATTAACTATTTTGGTAGTATTTCTAATTATAGAAGGGTCCTTTTGGGTTGGTCTCATGACCCGAATAGCAATAAGGAAATGGAGATAAATAAGTGATTAAAGAATTAAGGAATTAAAAAATAAATTGGAAACTATTTTGAGTATTAATTAAGTTTTTTTAATTAATTAAAGATCTTGAATATCAATTAATCTTAGAGATTCATGGGAATATTTAATAAGCTCCTAGAGCATAAGGGTTGACGGTTTTGGCTACCTCCCTGATAGTCGTAAAAGTTTGAATCCATTTAGGATTCTATCTATAGCCTATAAATAGATCAATATAGGTCAAACCCTAGAAGCTGATTTTCCCTCAAGATTTCGTCTGCCACTCCCCCCCCCCCATCTCTGTAAATATACAAAATTCATAAACTCTCTCTTAGGGTTAGTGAATTTCACTTAAATCTTAATATGGAGTTAGTTCTTTTTGCTCTTAGTGTTTGTGGGTCTAACTACATTAAAGGGGTTCTCCTTTAGATCCTTCGTCTTTTGCAAGAATTATCACGCACTAGATCCCAATCGAGTTAGAAAATATGTTAGTAAGTTTCAATGTAGTAGATTTTTAAACTTCATTTCTATAACTAGTAATAAATCCAGGGTGCATGTACACTTAGGTAAATCTTTTGATTGTTTTTGCTACCTTTACATAGTGTGTTGATGCTAATAAAATCCAACAGTGGTATTAGAGCCTAAAAGGTTTTAGTTTATTGCACAAACTTTGTAAGTTAAAAAATATTGAACCCTACTAGTCACAGACGCGACGCGCCCTTTGCTAGACCTGACGTGTCTATCGAGTTATCAGATTTCGAATGTTGTCTATTTTTCCCAAAAACTATGGATAAACCTCTTTTTTTAAGTATTATTTTATGCTTTTAAATCTAAATATTCAAATTTAAGATTAATTCAGAATATTATTTAATAATAATTCAAATTTGAATATTTAATCGATTAAAATTTGAATATTATTTAAACTTGAACAAAAATTTGAATATTTAGCTTGAGCTTTATTTAATAATAGAATTAAATTAGAAAGACAAGAATATAAATTTAAAAGGTTAAAATTTAGTATACAATATAATTAGTATATGTATAACTATTATACCACATGTATCCTCACATGTTTAATATGTAACATCCAAAAAACCTAGGCTAAGTTTTTCGTTATTAAAATAATATAACATCCATTTTAATAAAGTTACAACCATTTGTTCATAAACCATTAATCAGAAATTAGAGTTAAGAAGAAGACAAGACGAAATATCAAATTATAAATCAGTTGATATGTGTGTAGAGTCCTGCCTTCGCAATCCGATAAGTACTTGCAAAATAATTAATCCACAACTGTAAGCATATAGCATAGTGAGTTCCTCAAAATACCAAACACAACACAACACAATAATCAAGTAAGTGTTATCAGCAAACTCTAGAGACTATGAATAGTCTTAGTGTGCTAACAACACGTCCTATGGATTAACAACACACCTTACAGTTTATCAGCAACCCTGGGGACTATCAGTAGTCCAGGAGTTATCAGCAGCACATTTCACATATAATAGAAATCAACAAATAAGACTCAGCTTGTCGACATGCATATATCACCACACATGTAAGTATAGTGAGAAGACTTACCTGAAAGAAACAAAAGAAGGTGAACAACATTTCCAACAATATAACAACTAATCCGAGCTACCTAAATCCAAACCAAGACTATCCCTTAGCTACATACCCACTTCTACCCTAGTTTGACCAAAAGTCAAATTGGTCAAAAAGTCAAGTGTCCAACTCTATGCCTTGCGTACCATAACTTACGCCATGCATATGTCATTTATCTCGCATCCAACACTTTAATATCTACGCCCTGTGTAGATCTATTAAGCCCTACGTTGGGCAGAACACCTAAATTCCTTTTTAACTTCAAACAACCACAACTTCTTCGTTTCAACTCAGTTGTTGCTAATCTTTATATTCACAGAAAGATATTGAAGAGCCTCACAGTTCTATCTAGTTATCTTTGGCTTAACAGATGTTGAACTAAAACCATAATCCATGCAAGAAGTCCGATATATAATTTTTCCCATATTACCCTTTTTTCGAAGCACAATTCGAGGGCTTTAAACACTTAACCAAACATTATCATCATCTGATAGGGTCTAAACACTATTCCCTTGAAGTCCAAGACCTTTAATTGATCCATTTATGCCCGCTATCTATATAAAAGAAACATACAAAACTAGGTGTTACAATTCTCGCCCACTTAAATTAGATTTTGTCCTTGAAATCTGACTCAGTTAGATGACTAACTGCACTAACACAATCCATATGATTCTGACAACCTCTTCATATAATCAATGCATCCAAATTGAACTTGAAAGACCACACAAATCTCAACAAATGTTAACAATAAACCCGATCTATTGGAACACTCATTTTCAACATTAAACCTACTCATAACGAAAATCCCTTAACATAAATTCTCAACACTAGGATCTAGTTACCATCCCCATCAATGTATTTCTTAAAACTAGAAACCCTACAACTAAGCTCTAAGGACATACATAATAGCAGACGATCATCCACTCGTCATACTTGCCCCACGTCCCTAGCCACTAACACCACTAATTTGAATAAGTTCACTCAACATATCACAATCAAGATTTCATACCCCATCCCAAATTTCGGAAAATGCAAAAATCCTCTATTTACTTGACTTCCTCACATGTTGTGACAAACCAATTACTCCTAAGAGCGAATCCATGGTCAAAACCAACCTCGCGTGACATCCATGTTCCCAAAACAACTCAGGTGCACAAACATCTGCCAAAATTCCCAAGGGTTTTAAAACCCCTGCACCATTAGCCTCCTAGTATTCCCAAGCAGCATACCACTACCAATATGTCAATCTAAACAACTATGGGTTATCTGCAACCTTGGGACTGTCAGTAGTCCTTGGCACTTTCAGTAGTCCTGAAGTTATTAGCGACACAGAAAACACTCATTACAACTTTCTGCTTTCGACTAGTCTAGTTCACACACCATAATGATATAGGTAAAGTAGGGAGGGAACTGACACAAAACCTCATCATAACACAAACACAATTTCTTTAGGAAGAATCCAAGTAACGAGTTGCCAATATACTACCATGACTTTCCCAATAATTCAACACCGTATAACTGCCTGAATCAACCTGTCGGTCCCTGAGACACCAGTGACAACACTATACTGCTAAAAAATCCACCACTGCCACATAATTAATCAAATCAACATGCGATTCTCTGCTACACAACTCTCGACCCTCATCCAACGGTCCCAAGGACATTTTGCCATCATTTCATTGACTAGTAGGAACCCAATCAACATCCCACTCTATACTTTCCAAAGTACAAGAGCTAGAGCTATCCAAAACACACTCTCTTCCACAGTCCAATTACCACTGACACATCGTCATACGGAACATGACTGCACACCAACAAAAAGATGAACCTCATCTACTATAAACGCATTCTTCTAATAACCATAAGAAGATCCCAGACACTTATGATTTGAACTAATCCCATTAATGACCAAAAGGACCAATTAAACTTTCAATCTCGAGGAAGAACTCCAAAATTATATGGACATGCTGCCAAAATCTTGGTCGAATCAATCTAAATACCAACCTAGCCGACATGACCTGCCAAAGACAAACCTTTCGTACAAAAGATAATACCTGAAAAACTAAATAACTGTTAAGACATAAAGCGGCTCTCAGCAGCTGAATTGTGTAAAGAATACCATAGAGTTGATGATTCAGAGGAACCGGAGAGGAGATAAGGCTTATCGAAGAGCCTTGTATGTTGTTGAGCTATACTGTAGAGAAAATTCTACCTGAGTATAAAGTTGTTTTTCCGTCTTTTCCTTGATAAAACAATGATAAACTTTATACTTACTTTTCTTGGTAGACTACACAAATCAGTCATGGGCAATAGGGCTGCCCAAGCTACTCTTATTTTATTATTTAATGTGTACTATTTTGTCCTATAAATAGACGATCTTGTTGATCAATCTATAAAGGCTCTCCACTTCTGATATCTTTTCTATGTAATTGTTATATTAATATAGGAGTCTCTTTATCAAGATTATCTTTCATATTTAGTTGTTCATCACTTTCTAACTTGGTCTTGAATGCAAGCCTTGTTACGATTCAACTAAAGTGTAATTTACTTTATAATATTTTAAGTAAACTTGTTGCTATATCGCTTCCTTATTATTCCGCAATCTACTTACTATTGAGCTTCATTAAAAGATCCATTAGTTCCACACTTATCTCAATATCATTCAAAGATTAAACATCCT